GGATTGAGAATGTGTAGAACCGTCGTGCGCCTCTTTCTGTTGATCCACGTTCTTTATTAGTGATTGATTCATTTAGCGGTCACCTTGTGGACTCAGTTAAGCGACAATTTAAGGAAAAAATACTGACTTGGCAGTAATTCCTAGTGGGTAAACTCCTTGGTTACAACCGTTAGACGTAGCTATAAATAAACCTTTTAAAGATAAGGTATATTCACTAAAGCATCAGATATTTATACTTATTTGGGAATGATTATGTGGGAGATTTTATCAGGAAATGTTGTATTTTCTGATTATAAAATAATAATTTAAAATTGATGGAATGTTATGAAGATTTGAAACCATTATCAAAGGGACAGCACATTCTATATAATTTTTTGAAGAAATAATGAAATAAAGATCTAGAAATTTCGTATGAATTTTTTTTTTTTTATTCTTACAATTAAAGTATTAATTATTTAATACATATGTAGGTTCGTAATCATTATAATAAGTGGATGGCTGAGGAAATTAAGAAGCTAATGCCAACAGGATGATTTCAAAAGCCTGCTTACAACATTGTCACTCAGTGGGTTCAACAAGCATGGGATGATATCGATCCAGCACTTATTCGACGTTCGTTTAAGTGTTGTGGGATTTCTAACAATCGAGATGGTACTGAAGACAGACAAATCTTTGATTATGATTTCGTAACAAGGAACAATTCTATGCCACATATTATTGTTGAGGAAGAAAATAATGAAAGGTCTAATGAGTCGGTTGGGAATTATAAAGATCCTAGTGAATTGGTTAGAAATTGTGAAGATTCAAACGAATTGGTTAGAAATTGTGAAGATTCAAATGAATCAGTTAGAAATTGTGAAAATTCAAACGAATCAGGTAAAAACTGTGAAGATTCAAATGAATCAGGTAGAAACTGTGAAGATTCAAACGAATCGAGTAGAAACTGTGAAGAGTCAAATGAATTTGTTGGAATTTGTGATGATAGTGAAGGGTCTGGTCAATTTTTTTGCAAAAATGATCTTATTTTAGATTTTGGTGATGAAAATTTTGATGAGTATTATAATAATTCAGAATTAGAAAATTTTTCTAATTCCTGGCTTTAAAAAACTTCATCAATTATTTGACAGTTCTCTTTATATAGAATTTTTAGAGATCAATTTCGTATAACTTTTTTTTTAGAAAGTACAATACGATCATAATAAATACAAACATGCTTTAAATTGAAAAGCTTTACAAATTTAACTTTAGCTTATTATTTATTTTACATTGAATATCAGTAAAACAATTTTAAATATGTCGACTTTCTACATGATATGTCAAATGCACTTGAGTATGTGTACTTATAAAGATTTAGTCGCGACTAAATAATGTTACATAAATTATATTAGACAATCAAATGGTATACACATTATAGAGAAGAAATGTGCGTTTACAGTAGGTCAACTATAATAAAATCACAAAAGTTAAAAAAGAATGTATGTATGTATGTATGATATAGAATAACTTTCTTCTGATTGGTCAATCACTTTCAATTGTATTTATACATACAGTTTAAAGTACTTTTTAAGAATGTAACATTTCACAAGCAAAAAATAAAAATTAAACCTGTCTCTATCTTCG